GGGCTATAAGAGAAAGAACTTTCTGCTCTCTTCTTGCTTTTTATTTTCATTAAAGGAAAGGCATTGGCCGATTTTTGAAGGCTTAGTGTGTTGTGAACAACATTTTTGTTCGAGAGCCGAATAATCCGGCTATATTCTAGAAGCTCTAATAAACGTGACCGTCCGCCATTATCCCGGTCGCGCATCCACGGCCCCCCAAAGTGTTATTGATGAGAAATTATTCTTATGTGTAAAGCACTTTCACGGTGTTGGAAACTAAATTTTCACAACACTCGCTATTCTGGCGAGTGACTCTCAAAATGCACTCGTCCGGCGTAAAATTTACAAGCCCTGAAAGATGCCTCCCCTTCCCCTAAAATATATCCGCAGTATGTTTGAGACAAACCATATGTTTTTCGGTATCTCGTCATCACGAGCGTGCGCTAATTTCGAACACTGCCTTCATCCTTTTTTTCTATGATGGTCTTACATTCGCTGCTTTGGCAAAGCTCTTGTGATATTAAAAATTCGTTCCAAAAACCAAATTTTGGGACTGAAATGGGTTAACCTAATAGAGTGGTTTCAATCATGAGTGTCTTTAAACTAAAACCAAAGTAATCACTATAGCCAATCTCAAAGGACGCAGAAAATCATGTGAACCAATAACAACTCGAGCTAAGTACATGTAGCTGAAGCAACACGCGCGAAAACGTGTGCCAGCGTGCCACAATTGATTTTGGTTTTACTTCTGATTGGATGAAATCGGGTAATCGGGTAGCGTAATAACGCAAAAGCAGATACATTTTTGGACACCCAAACGAAACTCCTCCATGCATAAGGTTTTGCTCTGATGGTATCTCAATCCCTGTTCTTCAATTTGTTGCAGACGCAAAGCAAGTGACTGTAGTCGTCACAGATGGATTCAGTGGTATGGGTTTCGAATTTGTAAAGCAGCAAGCTGACATGATAAAGTCGAGAGGAGTTGAAATGTTCGCGATCGGAATCACCAAGAGAATGAATGACGAGGAGCTGACGGCTTTATCCAGTCAACCTGTGAAAAATCATCTTCTTAGGCTAACTGGTTCCAAAACAGTGAAAGGTGTAGTTAATCATATCGTTAAACAAATTTGCAAATAACAATGCGGGCTGCATATTCACATGCAAGTTCATCTTTTGTTACTGCGACTTCGCGTGTGACCCTGTTGTCTGCAATTTTGGCTAAAAAGCTGCAATTATAAGCCATAATCATCATCATCATTGTCATAATTTTATTCGTAATTATCTTCCTCCTCGTCGTCATCTTTAGTTAAAATGCACAAGATCATATTCATAACATGTTATAACAATAACAATAAAATTTATTACTTATTTTCTATAAAAATAGTCAAAAGTGCATTAAAATTAGATGAATTCTTACAAATTACAAATTGAGAATTAAAACTTCCAACGCATCTTGGAATTCAAGACCTAAACTCCTGTAATACATTCGATAACTTGACTCACAATAAAATCTGAACAAAAGGCCTTAGAGAACAAATGAGACTTAACTAAACCCTTAAAAACGATAAAGTTCGTAGCTTGCCTCACTGACAAGGGAAGGCTGTTCCACAAGACTGGGGCTGGAACCATAAACTCGCGATCAGCCATAGTCTTTTTCATTCTGAACCGAGGGCTAGCCAGCACATACCATTGTCATTCCGACGCAGTTGATAATGCAAAGCCGGCAAGATCGAAACCAGATCCACAAGAGAACTAGGGGCTAAACCCTGAAGTATCTTAAATGTAACAAGAAGAATCTTAAAATCTATACGCAAACGCAGTGATAACCAATGAAGTTCTCGAAGCAAGGGGGGTATGTGACAATACTTAGCCACGCAGTAAACTAACCGAGTACACTTTCATTCATAACTCTTTGAAATTTCCTAATTTGATACTCCGAAACACCATAAAATAAGCTATTACAATAGTCAAGCCTACTTGTAACAAACGCGTAGACAAGCCTTTCAGTAGACTCCCGAGACAAAGACTTTCTAACATGCCGTATATCGTACAGGGCCGGGTTGTTCGAAAGCCGGTTAACGCTAATCCAGGATTAAAAGTTAACCGAACTATTAATTTTTCTTGGATAAAATTATTTTTTTTACGTTTTGTGTAGTTTGAGCTTAGTCGAGCTCAAAACTGATGGACAAACAGTATAAACAGAAAACCTCACCGAAAAGTTACAAAACTGAGATCAAATTTCCTGCTAATCCTGGGTTAGCTTAATCGGTCTTTGAACAACCCGGCCCAGATAGTAAAAAGCGCTACTACAAGCGTTAGTTACATGAGTAAACGCGTGCAGATATGAATCAAACCAGGCACTCAAACTGCGCTCTGAGGAGACGGGAGTTACCAAGGTTTGACCGACCTGAATCTTGACAACAGACATTTTAGATAACAGTCGTTCTGTAAAATAAGTTCGAAAAGCATCTTGTAATGGTGTCAGTCTCTCATTTACTGAATTCTCCACCAGTGTCAATCATATCTCTCACCCAATCAGAGAGCACGCTCATGTCACTATACACACCAAATTTATTAGGCTCTCCGCACCCTACACCCCATGAAACAATCCCAGTCAGGAACCAGACTCCACGCTCTTGGCAGGCCAACGGTCCTCCACTATCGAATTGACACGGCCCCACTCCCCCCTCGGCCGGACCTGCGCAGAGAGCTCTTTCGTGTATGATGCCGTCGTATATCTCCGGGATATTACACAACTCTCTGGAAACGAGGGGAACCTTGGCCTCGAGAAGAATTGACGGATGTGGTCCATTGGAGGCTAGTCTTCCCCAGCCGGTGACGTGACATGCAGTGCCTGGGATAAAACTTGCTCCGCTTGGAAGCAGGCAAATCGGAAACGAACAGTTTGTTAATGGCAAAGTCTGTTTCAAGAGAACCATGGCTGTGAAAAAAGGAAACTATTCAATGAGGATTATTATATTCACATGGAAGGCGAAGCTTGAAAACAAAGGCGCTAGAAATAGTTCTGTGCTCTGTTTTATGCCACCCACTCAGGAATCGCGTGAGGCACTAATGCGATAAGTTTCGTTGCACAAAAGGCCATTGCATTTGTCATCTTGGTTTAATGGCATGTACATGCTTTTGTACAAAGAAGCTAACCTCATCAAGCGCATCACGCTCGCTGAAAAATAACTTAAAAACTAGTCGAGAGCTAAGATTATGTTTGTCCCCACTGCATTTCGCCAAAACACAACAAGATATTTTATGAATACAGACATACAAACTTGTCTGTGTTATAGTACTTTTGTCGCTATACTCTCTACATTTATTATACTGTGCTTCTAGAAACGGGAGCGGAGGTGTGCAAGCTAAGTCAGGATATCAGCAAGCATTTGTGTCACGTTGGCACGTCACACAATGAGTTGCGAGTAACAAAAAGAGGTTTTACGTAATACATCAAACACTAACGACCGTGTTTGACCACATTTCCAAACACCGAAAAGAGAGTTTAACAATGTCTTAAGTGTTTGATATATCTTCTCAATCAAAACTTGAATTAACGAGAAAATGGAGAAAGAAAATCGTAAAAATCTATGTTAATTAAGATCAGATATCCAAACACCGTCACAGTCATGATTTCCTTTGTTTAAACGGGATGAATTATTAATGGCTTTGAGAGATGTCTTTCATGTACTTACCGACATCAAAGTCTGAGGGAAAGCTATAAGTTGGAGCATTAGGTTTGTACTCTGGGTGAATCAGAATGTTGGAGATTTCTAAGCTTCGCTTGAGAGACCCGTTCACCATCAAACTGTCTTCACCTACAATGACACTCCAGTGGGTTGGAATTATATCTGTGAAACAGAATAAGAAATCTGGTCACATGTGCA